GCCTTTGCCATCACTAAACAGCAATGCACTTTACCCTTGTCATTTTTGAAACGGAGATAAGAGCAAGCTCCATATCCAGCATTACTCGCATCAGAGAAGTGATGCAGCTCCGTTCTGATGATTTCATTGAAAGTCTTTGGGTGATAACATCTTGGAATGGTGATTTCCTTAAGCTTCTGAAGACCATTTTTCCAGTCCTCCCACCTTGAACATAACTCATCTGAAAAATTATCGTCCCAACCTATGCCTCTTCGGCACAGTTCTTGCAGGATACCCTTTCCCTGTAAAATGAATGGTGCGACGAATCCAACAGGGTCGTACAGGGAGGCGATGACAGACAAGATGCCATGACGAGTTGATGGCTGTTCTTTAAGGTTGATGTTGAAGCTAAAAGCGTCATTCTTTGTTGACCACTGTATACCAAGTACACGTCCTGTTGGTGCTGTCTCATGATGCAAGTCAATGGGCTTAAATGTGATATCCCTTTCTGATGGGTCTATACAACAAAGAGCGTCTTCTTCATTGGAGTTGAATTTGTGAAGTCGCAAGCCTCCACGTTTACACAGCATTTGAGCATCAAGGATCAGTTCTTTAGCTTCGTTGACTGAATGAACACTAGTCAACCCATCATCGACATAAAAGTTCTTTTCAACAAACTCTGATGCTGAAGGGTGGGTGAATTTGTGCTGCTGTGCCAGGTACTTCAGAGCGAAATTTGCACACCCAGGAGACGATGTAGCACCGAAGAGATGGACGGCCATGCGATAATCTTGAGGCTCCCTTTCCAAATCTCCACCCTCCCACCATAGAAACCTTAGATAATTGCGATCATCAGGAGGGACAAAGAACTGATGGAACATCTTTTCTATGTCACAAGTGACTGCGACAAGTTCCTTCCTGAAGCGGCATAGTACTCCCACTAATGAGTTAATCAGATCAGGCCCGGTCAGAAGTGTATCGTTTAGAGATATACCACAAAACTTGGCTGAACAGTCGAAAACGACCCTGAGTTTATCTGGTTTCTGAGGGTGGTACACCCCATGGTGTGGGATGTACCACACAGTTTCTCCTTCAGGTATCACTGGGGCTAGTTCAGCTTCACCCCTTTTAAATATCTCATCCATAAACGCACTGTAGTGATCACAGTTTGGCTTGTTAGACTTGAGCCTTTTCTTTAAATGCTGCAAGCGGGCAATTGCTAATCTTCTGTTATTAGGCAGTGAGGGTCGACCGCTACACTTGAAAGGGAGAGGAAGCTCATAATGCCCATTATCCATCTGTTTGATATTAGCACTAAGATGATGTATGAAACGAACATCCTCTTGGGACACACTTTTATCCTCATAGCTTCTCTCATTGAAGTCTGACTCTAAAATCTTCAAGACATCGTTGGGCGATGGGACAGCTATTTCTTTGACTGCAATTCTATGGACATAACTCTGATTTCCTTGTCTGTCTAGGTGTGGATTGGAGAGGCCTATAATACTCCAACCAAGCTCAGTTTTTTGGGCAAATGGTTCATTTTTACCACCTATTATGACTTCAAGTGGAGCTAGAGCTAGTGGGCAGTCATAACCAATTAACAGTCCAACTTCGCAATTCTGAAGTGGTGGTAATTGATTGGCCAGATGTTTGAGATGAGGCCACTGCAGTGCTGTTTTCTTGGTTGGAATATAGGACTTGTCAACAGGAATGAAGTCCCTAGTATATGCTTGCTGTAATTGAATAGAGCTTGTTGCCTGAAGTCCTCTAACTTGAAGACCACCGACCCTTTTACTTGCAGTGATGACATCCACAGCTGTCATGGTCCTCAGTCTAAGCTGCACTGGTTGAGTGACTGCATCTAAGTCTTCAAGAAGATCTTCCAAGATGAATGTAGAGTCACTTTGTGTGTCTAGTAGAGCATAAGTGAGTACTTCTCTTTGTGGCTCTTCCACTATAGAAACGAGGACTGGCACAATGCTTGAAGTAGCGGAAGAGCTTTGTGAGAGTACATGGGCCGTAACTTTGTGAACTTCCTGACTTGCTTGAACTTCTGTAGAAGTTTTCTGTAATGCTTTCGAAGGCTCTTTATCTCTTTCTTCATGCAAACAAGTAGGGTGATTTCGGCCACATGTTCCACATTTATGTCTTCTTTTGCAGTTTCTCACAATATGTCCCTTCCTAAGACACCCAAAGCAGAGGTGATTGTCCTGAATGAAAGTCTTCTTGTCTTCGATAGTTCCTTTTGCAAATGTAGGACATTGGGCAATGCTATGTTTTTCATCTTTACAGGCGAAGCATGATACCTTTGACTTGCTGGTTGTTTCAAACCCTTTAGAAGCAAAATCCTTCACTTCAGCCTTTGTACTGAGAGCTTTAGCTCGCTTGGAAAACCTTTCATCAGAATCCTTCAGGTTCATGAAAAGTGGGGAAGTAATGGGGTTACATGCTATTCTGGTTTCCTTCTGCATAAATTCTGCAAAGCATTTGAAACTTGGATAGTCACCTGACGCATCCAGCTCTTCCACTATGATTCGATTCCACTTGCGGACAATCCATTCAGGAAGTTTCTTTAATAACTTGTGATTTTCTTCACAGTCATTTAATATGGTAAGTCCCTTAACATGAGGAATCGCCTCAACACATCCTTGCAGGAAGTCTGTGAAGTCTCGTAGAGCAAGAGGATCATTTGCTCCGATTTTGGGCCATCTCGTTAACTTGTCTCGAAAAGCCTTCTGCAGTACAAATGAATTCCCATACCTGTCTAGTAAAACCTTCCATGCACCTTGGTATGCGTCCTCTGAATTTCTATAGAAATATCCTTCCACTGCTCTGCGAGCCTCTCCAGCGAGGTAGTTCTTAAGGTAGAACATCTTTTCCCCAGGTGGGAGGGGCTTTCGATCAATAAGGGCCATGAATGACATCTTCCAATCTATAAATTTCAAAGGATCGCCAGCAAAGCTAGTGGGTTCAGGTACAGGTAATCGATGTATGCTTAGTGAGTCTGCTATGGCGTGAGCTAGAGCAACATTTTCCTGAGATGGCTGTAATTCACGCTCTTCGAAGAATGTCTGCTGAGGTAGAAATGATTCAGTTTCTGGGTTTAACTGAAATGTAAGCTCTGTCCTTTGACAACCAATGTGAGTCCCAGGGTCTATTTCTTCATCACCGCCTTCAATGATGCCTTTAAGATTATTATACACTTTGACACGAGCCGCTGCCACTTTTACTTCTTTGTTTACTTGCAACTGACGCAACCTTTTTCTCTCCTCTTCTAGCTTTAGGTGCATTTCCATCTCCCTTTGCTTTATTTCCGCAAGCATTTTAGCTTCACAACACTTCCAATCACTCTCCATTCTGTTAAGCTTCGCTTGCTGATCATGGATTCCTTGCATAGCTTTAGCTTGCTCTTGTTTGGCTGCAAGTTCTGCCTCTGCATCAGCTCGTTTGCTTGAGATCCTGGAAGAGGTCTTTGACTGTTTGCTTGATCCTAGCGATGACTCTGAAATGACTGTGTTTGTTTTCGTGCATCCAAAGATAGATTCATACTCGTCCTTATTTAGAACTTGTCTCACTCTTTCCTTCACAAGCTCTTCATTGTAATCTTCATCTATTATTTCAAGCCGTTTACTTACAAGATCACTGATCTCGCCAGTCAGTGCGGCGCAAGCATCCATACGTTTGACAATGTCAGGAGAAGTGGCATGATTACGCAGTATTGGTTTATAATGATGATAAACTGAATTATGTTGGCTTTGAATGTCTTCTTGTATTCTTTCAAGATTCTCACGTGAACAGAAAAGTTTCAGTCTCGATCTACTCTCCTTTGCGCTCTCCTTCCAACAGTTATAAGCTTTATAAAAGGCCTTCTCTTGTTTCTTGGCTTCCTGCTCGCGCATCTCCAGACCCTTTTCTGTAAAGCTTCTTTCGCGTGAGCTTGATCTGATCTGCTGCACAGATGGATTGCTTATTTCTTCCTTTCTTAACGACATCTCTTTTACTTGCTCAATTGCTTGTGCTACAGTATCCTTTTCCATAGTCTCTTGTTCATTCACAACTTCCATAATCAGGGAAGAACTTCAGCAGTAAACCTCTAGTAAGTAAACACTCAAGGGATACTGGAAAGCACAATAAACGCAAACAAACAGCAGTATTTGTATACAAAGTTCAAAGTCTAACTTGTAATGTGAATCACCAGAAAAATTTTCACAAAATTATAAGTAACTTCAGCACTGACTATACCTCTTTGAATACACAACAGATTGAAGTTTCTTTAAATGATGCTCAAATTTCAGCCAAATTATGAATTCAAACCTTTAAACTGTGAAATACATGTATTGCATTTGCATCAAATATTCCCTTCACATTGAAGTCCTTTGCAATTTTAACCTTTCATCTCAAATGTCAATGAAATGTTCTCTATACAAAGTACAGGTCGACCTGATGCAGCTTATATAGGAATATGATCGTTGTAAACTCTCTTGGCACTCAAAGTCTCACTCTGCATCTGCTACGTAAACGACAGAGCACCGCCACCTTCCAACCTTGCTCTTTATACCTCTGCGATGATGACACGACCTCCAGCTGCTTGCTCCCGCAGAACTAGCTGTGCTGTTGCGTTGTCGCGAAGAAGACGGTTGTGCTGTAATAGATGCATAGTTCCTTTGCGTCGAGTTTCACTGTAGCTGCCCTTCGGTATCGATAAATAACGGGACACAGAGTGCTTCAGACGGGTGCTTATCTCTCTTTATTTCGCGCTTGCAGAGCGCCGTTGAGCCTTTTGTTGCGTAGCACCGTGAAACTACACAAAAAAAACAATAATCGAATAAATGTCACAAATAAGGTGCACATTTACAAAGAACCAAAAAAAATAATAATAATTTAC